TGGTACAAATTACCTTTTGCTCAACTCGATCTCATTTTCTCCAATGTCCAGCATGAACATAAATGGATGGGACGCAATGATTGCAATTGGGTTCAATGCTGCTATAAGGTGAATTTTTCTTTGTTTAAATAATGAACTGCTCTATAATTGAACTAAGAACTTAACAGATTATTATGGTGTTAACAGTGTGAGAGTATCAAATGAACTTGGAGCTGGAAATGCTTGGCTTGCCAAATTTTCAGTGCTGGTTGTTTCCATGACATCTATGAGCATTGGGATTGTTTGCATGATTCTGGTGTTTGCCACCAAAGGTTACTTCCCTATCCTCTTCACCACCAGTAATGCAGTAGCTCAAGAAACTACTAAGCTAGCTCTATTATTGGGAGTTACGGTCCTCTTAAACGGCCTCCAACCGGTCTTATCCGGTGAGTATCCGCTATGTTTTCCCTATTTATTCTTCATTTTGCTTGAAGTAACTATGTTTTAAATCCGTGTTCAATAAATATTCTTGTTATACCTTCTCTTAATCCTTTTTACAAGTCGCATTTCTGTTTTCACTCCTTCACCAACCGAAGCTTCCGAAATGACTCCTCCTCTGATCGTATCTTATGGATGCCCATATTCTTCGATCAACAACAACCTTTGATATAATCTCTTATAGATTCACATGATCTAACACAACCAAATCATTTACTATCAAACGGAAATATCTGTTCAGCTTGTCAGCCTATAAATAGTCGTCATGATACTAAGTCTAACACCAACATTAATAGTCGTAATGATACCAAGTCTAACACCAACATTAATAGTCGTAATGATACCAAGTCTAACACCAACATTAATAATCGATATAAAACCTTTCGTGCAAGGCTAAGAATGAGGATTTCACTTCTTTTTCCTCTCACTATGTGAAAAAATAGGACACAATTTATCAAAGACTGACCTCTTACTGTATAATCACTATCCAAATTAAAAAGAGTGAATCATTTATAGTGATCATAACCTAAATATTACCGGCAACAATTCTAATATACAAAAGATTCTCTGAATACATCTATGCTTGTATCTGATGTGAACATTTGAATCCGAATAACAGAACTGTTTGATTCCTTTTCAGGTGTTGCTGTTGGAGCTGGATGGCAATCTCTTGTGGCGTACATAAACATCGGGTGTTACTATATATTTGGATTACCAGCCGGCATTCTCCTTGGGTTCAAATTTGGCTTTGGGGTTATGGTAAATTTCCTAATGTTTTAAAATTTCAGGTGACATGTTTAGAATTAAGTCGGATTTGACCCCCTAAACGAGATAAATCTATTTCACCACAATCCCTTTTATTAACAAATTCGAAATCAAAATTTTAGTTCGAAAATATATTAGAATCTACTCTACTTATAAAACTAATGGATCATAATTTATACCTTTTTAATTACCTTGTGAAATGATGCAGGGGATTTGGTCAGGCCTGATTGCGGGCATTGTTTTGCAAACGCTAATCTTGATAGTTGTGATTGCACTTACCAACTGGAACAAGGAAGTAAGTATCCCTGCCAATATCTTAATAGTTTATGTATTTATATTGTATTTATCTTATTCATGTTATATAAGATTTCTATCACATTTATATTTTTGTATTATATTGGTATTTTTTTTATATAATATAGTTATATTGTCTTTTAGTACATTGATCCAACTTAGTCTCTTTTCTAGTTAATTTTGATCTGCTGAATTCAAAACAAAGCTTTAGTGCTGATATTCTCATATGCAGACCGAAGAAGCTGAAAACCGTATAAAGAGATGGGGAGGAACAGCTGGTGGAGAGCACTGATTTATTATTATGTATTAATAACTAATTTATTATTATGTATTAATTAAAATAAACACATTCTTTTGCTTTATAAATTAAGTAGCTTTTAGTGCAAAACCCGGCTTTATAAATCACACAATTTTCTCTCCCGGAGATTGGGAACTTGAGAAGCTCACTGCAGTTTAAGAAGGAAGGGGAAAGTCTGAGGAGTAGGAAATGGCGAAATCCACCGGAGACCCAAAACCAATGAAGGCCCGGAGCTAGTTTGACATATTCCATTGCTACACCGAGAGAAATCTGTCCACGTTAAACAAATGTATTAACTAATTAACAAATTTGGAGAGTGGTTAAGCGACAGAGGCGCTCTTACTCTGCTCTTATATCCTGGGTCATTTGGATTGAACATTTATTAAATTAATTAATTTAAAATTTAAAAATCTTTAATCAATTATTGACACGTATGATATTCTGAGTGAAGTATTAATTTTTTTAATTTAAGTTAAATTAAGATTAAATTGATTTAACGTGTAAATAATGAAGACTAAATCTATGAATATACAATTTTTAACTGTCATATCAGTTCTTTTGTCAAATGTTAATAGCAAATGACTTGATTAGTAACACTTAAATAGTTAAGCGGTCTTATTAATAAAATTAAAAGATCGGTGCTCAAAGTAAAAGAGTGTTAATATTTCCTCCTTGACTTGCTCTCTCTATACTATGGTGAATGGGTATAGAGAACACAATTCATGCTGCCATTTCCATCCTAAACAAGTTGTTATAGGGGTTTGTCCTTTGTGCTTGAACGAGAGGCTTCTATCTTAGCTTCAAACCAAGCCCAACGCTCTTCTTCATCCACCAGAGGCAGCCATAGATTTATTCAAGGTGTTTCATTGAAGAAACCTCCCGTTAACCTCCCCAAGATCTTTGCTTTAGGCTCACTGCTCAATCGTCTCAAGTTCAAGCACTGCGAATCCCAACATTCTGATGCTCATGATGCTTCAACCAGTCAAGAAGGTAATACCCATTTAGTTTTTTTGTGTTCTTGAATATCCATCAACAAAAAGGAGAAAATAATTGATATCAAAATTTAATATGAAAAAGTTATGCATCACATGCATGCAAGTGTGTCTTAAAATTATGGTAAAACTGGAAATGAGGAATCTTATCTTATTTCCTTCTCTGGGTATTTCTCCCCCTCTAACAATGTTTCGGAGTAATGAACTTCCCTACATAAACTGATAGCTGTTTCCCAACATAAAAATGTATGTTTGTATGTATGCGAATGTCATGAAAAAGTTTTATGCTAATTGGAAGATATGTTTGTTTTGGAACAATGAATGCCTTTAATAATTCTAGGAAATCCTATGATTTTTTAAATGCATTTCCATCCAAATCTGCAGGTAATTTATGTATTTATGCTAAATTATGTCCCCTCATAAGGATGGACATAAAATTTTATGTTAGATATCGAATTTATAAAATTTTAAGAGGCGAAAATAAATTATTAATACAAAATATAAAAAAATATCTAAATTATATAAGAATTTAAAATCTTCAAGATTATTCATGCTAGTCCAGCGGTCCATCCCTGCACTCATTGTTGCTATATAGCTGCCTAGCTACAAATATGATTGATGTACTAAAATACATACACTTTACTATAAAGAAATGAAAGTAGTTAGTTTTTCAATTCATTTTTCTTTTATAGTAATCATCCTTTGAAGCCCTTGTTCAGTGTCCAAGTTTTACTTCTGCAGATTCCTTCGTCTCAATCAAGTTTGAAGAGAATGGTAGTGTTGGTTCATGGGAACAAGGCACAGTTTCTAAGGTCTCTCTTGAGGATTGCAACATGTCATGGAACTCAAGCAGACCAATAAGACCGTGAGAGAGCATGCAAAACCTCGAGCCTCGCTTAGGTGGCAGAAGCGCTTTGGACACATGTTCCAGCTCATAAGGTGGAAGAGGTCCAGCAAGGTAGATGGACCTCTGACAAAGTGGACCAAAGAATAAAGGCATAAATTTATATAGAAAAGGGAGTCTAAAGCTTTGCTTTTCCTCCTCCATACCAATTTGTGCGTGTATTAGGGCCCTCATATACTTTTATCATCCTACAGTGCTTTGGCTTAAACTTCATTGCCTACTTTTGTTATTCTATTCTTATTTTCTGATCAACAAAACCAGCTGTAGAAGGATTTGTTTACAATGTGCCACTCATTTCAGATTGATTTAGACACGGGCACATTCCTTACACAAAAAGAAATATTTGTATATTTTTTCTCCATGATAGTATCTTAACCCTACTAGTAACCACGGATGTAGAATTTTATGTTAAAATAATATTTTTTAAAATTTTTGGAATTTGAAAATAGATTATTAATAAAAAAATATTAAACATCTTAAATATATGAAAATTTAAAATTTTTAATGAACAATAGTCTCTATTGACTCATTAGTATCCACCAGTCCACCTTCATCAAAAAATAATGATTTTTTTAATCACTGCTGCATTTTGTCGCAAAGAAGAATACCACTCAATCCTGTGAATTTAATATCTATAGTTAAGGGCGAGTAAGACTCGATTTAATTTAAAAAATCAATTTTTTATTCTATCAGAAATGATCATCCAACTCAGTTGGTAGAGCACAAGGTTCTTAACCTTGAGGTCGTGGGATTGAGTCCCATGGAAGGTATTTTATAATTTGGAGGTCTCCTACGGAAGCTGCTCTCAACCTAGTGTTGTGGGCAGCCTACTATCTTACCTCCCCCTTACCCCATTACATATGGGAACAAGGGACATCCATTTTTTAATTTTTTATTCTATCAACTTGACTTATAACTTCATAAACCCGAAAAAATTTCAAATAAAACTTGAATTTTAAAATAAGATTCAAATAACTCAAAATTTTTAGTAATTAGTGGAACGATTTTCAAGTTTGTGTCAAATCCCTCAACTTTACATAATATATGTATATCACATATAAAAAAATATGAAAAATATACATGTATATCATATATTATGACAAAAAAAATTAAATTGGAATCGATTAGTAACATAATATTATAAAATATTTATAATTAAATTTAAATAAAAACTCAAATAACTCAATTCAAATTTCATAAACTTACTCAAAAATAATAAACATATAATTCTTAACCTTATTTATAAATTTAAAAAAATCCTACCATCATTGTATTAAAAACTTAGATTTAATTCAACTCACAAAGATATTACATGAATATGATTACATTTAAACTTGGGGTAGTCACATACTTTGCTCAACTCATTTCGAACTCTCCAAATCACTTATTATACAAAATTTATGCACAACAGTTACAATGAAATATTAAGAGCATATCCAAGAAGAACACAAAAAGGAGAGAGAATGATTCGAAACAACCCCACAAAACTTGGTACGATGCACTTGGAATACCATAAGCGATATGATGGCCATAGCACTCGAAGTAAATCACATAAAAAGCGGAGTGCCGAGTTCCTGAGCCGACGAAGGTTGTAGGGCACGGATTCTAACATTGTATTTTCTATAGCTAGAAGCTTCATTACCAGAGGATGAATCGGGTTTGTCTAACACGAGAGCGGAACCTGAAGTTTTGTCATCATAAGCATTTCCGATGTGGTTGCCACACTTGCGGCAAAGGAGTTTGGTTTTACGGCGGAACAAGCTCCAGGAGTGCCTTGAAAAGTAGGGAATGCATTGGAACTCATCAACTTGTGTAAATCTGCTCTCATCTATACTGAAGAATGATATAATCCCTCGCTTTATAGATTTTCCGTATTTGGAGCCAATTGTTGTGGTGATTCGACTCGAGGAACTCAGGTTTAACTCATATCCACAAGAACCACAGCTGCAAGAAAGAATGTTTCCACCATTTTATATCTTCAAAAAGTGTAATGATAAGAAAAACATCCAAGTAAAATATTATGCAGGGTGCTTGAAACTAAAAAGGCCTTGCAGTTGTCTATATATGATGCATATATAGTTTGTTTATGTTGCTTTACATAGGGTTTCACTATCAATCACTGGAAGGCATCCTAATTTGCAATAACTGAAGCATCAAAGGGTCTTTTTCATTAATCGTCCCTTTCTGAGTACTCATAGCAAAAGAATTCTCAATGTCAAGTACTCAAATGTAAGAGTTTGAAATTCCAATTTCATATGCTATAAAGTAATAGGAAATTCTAAACTCTTTCAGTTCTATTTGGCCAAAAGAAAAATTCTTTTGGTCCTAAAAGGTTCTTTATCAGTTAGCCAACTAAAAGTAAATGAAAACTACATCAGTTAGCCAACTAAAAGTAAATGAAAACTAGATCAGTTACCCAACTAAAAGTAAATGAAAACTACATTCCAACATGAGTTCATAACCTGGCTTTAATAATCTAGGTCAAACAGACCATATCAATTTAAGAACTTTCCGTGAATATCAAAGCTAAGCAAAACAAATCACGAGTTACAATTAAGGATGGACGTAAGATTTTATATTACGGGTTGGAAATTACAAAATCTCAAGGAATGTGAAATCAGATTGATAATAAAAAATACGAAAAAAGTATCTAAATTATATAAAAATTTAAAATTTTCAACGGTGCGACTACACCTCCCACACCCTCTCGATCCATCCTTGGTTACTAGGGGTGAGCAAAACTCTACTCGAATTAACTTCGAGTTGAAATTTCATAAACTCGACTCAACTCAAAAAAAATTCAAGTTCAAATCGAATTATAAAATACAATTTGAATAACTCAAATTTTTTAGTAATTAGTGGATTGATTTTCAAGTTTGACATGAGTCTTTCGACTCTGGATAACATATATATATATATATATATATATATATATATGAGAAAGAAAATATATATGTATTGTTTATTATTATAAAATTCATTTAAATTAGAATTATATAATATCATAATATTATAAATATTTATAATTAAATTTAAACAAAAACTCAAAATACTCAATTCGACTCAAAAAAGTTTGAAGTCAAGCTCAAATTATAAAATAAGACTCGTCAACTCGAATAACTAATTTTTTTAGTAGACTGGATCGCTCACTCCTACTGGTTACAACTCAACAAACCATAAAACTGAATCAGATGTTTTAATTACCATGCCCATCAAGTACCAAGCATCAAGCAAGCCAGAGAATCTGAGGAGGTAAAGTTACCATAGATACAAAATAACATAAATACTTGAAGAGAATTTTGAAGATTTATATTTTACTTTGTCACCCCCAAACGGTCCCTCTTGCAATCAATTGAATTCTCATAAAGATTTTCTTCTGATCAAAATCTCATTAGAGATTCAGCCTTGTACTCCAATTAAAAGTTAATAATAAACTCTTTATTAACCTAAACCAGTCCCTTGGTTCACAATTAATGGATACAAAAAAGGTAAAAGCATAAACTTTATTTAACCCAATTAGGCATAGTCGACGCAATCAATTTCCATAATAAATCAACAAAAAACAACAAACCCAGAATCAATATCTCATAACAAACAAAACCCAGAAATCAAAATTACAAAATTTAAACATCTAATCAAAAGAAGAAAAGAAGGAACGGATTGGAATCCCGAAAAAGGGAAAAATCAACAAACCTGTATGCTACATGTCTTAGAGAAACAGGAGAAAAGGAGTAATGGGGATTTCCATTGACCTGTTGAACGTCGTTCACAAAAACCGAATTCTCCATGATTCCTTCTTCTAAAAATCAAACAGTTCTGACTAGGATGACGATAGAGACCGACTTTTTAGTAATAACAGCTGAGTTGGGTGAGGAAGGACGCGTTAACGGCTAAATCTTCAGGGCTCAGCTGGGAAATAATAATTAACACTTCAATTTCAAGGCCGAGACAAGGCTCTTTGTGAAAATAAAAGAGAATATTTTCGTCCTTCTCTGGGGTGTTTCCGCTAATATATATATATATATATATATATATATATATATATATATATATTAAATTACGTTTAAAACTTAAATATAAACATTTAATTGCGTTTTTAAAATTTAATTATTAATTTTAAAATTTATATATTTATATAAATATATATATGAGATATGATCTAATTATATAAAATTCTTTTAATTTTACATAGATTTAGAATTGTTAGATGAGTGAAAAATTAATAACTAAGATTAAAAAGTAGAAAATGAGAGATAATTATTGAAAAAAATAAAAAGAGTTAATTTCAACTATTAATTTTTAATCTTTCAACAATCTTAAATCTGTATATAAAATTAATATTTATATTGAAAATAAGTAAATACCTATCTTGAAATTTAAATTTTATTCGATTTATTATTTATTTTATTAATCGTGTTTACTTAAAAATTTATTTGTGCAAACCCATAATTATAAATTTTTATATTATTAATAGTGTGTTTAACTTAAAAATATTTCTACATTCAACCCTACTAATTATTTCGAAAGATAGATTAAACTGTACTAGTACCAACATGTAACACCATAATAAAAATGATACACCCATCAATATATTCACTTAATTTATTAAAAATATAATAAAAACTAGCATGTTTAATACACTATATAATGATACTGATGTTATACTAAATAAATGTAATAGTAAATTCATTAACTAGAATATGAGATTGATACCATTTTTAAAAATTTAAATTCATTAAAAACATTAATACCATTTTTAAGAACTTAAGTTGTGAGATTGGTTGGGGCTTATCATTAAAAGTGCGAAGAGTATAAGGACTAAGAACATAATTAAACCCCGATTACATATTTTTTATACTTAGTTTACAAGTGTCCTTGTTTTGGTTGGGGCATAATAAAGTCATCAAACTTTTACTTTTCTTGGAACGATTAGTAGCATTGATTTATACTGATTAAAGAAGTTCTGTTTGTTCACCGATCATTTGACTTTTTTAAGGCATTAGAGAGGATAATCCAATTTTTTTAACGTAAATGAGAGAAATAAATAATACTTCTTTGTTTCTTATACGCAATTAGACAATCCATTCACGCTATTATTAAGTATTTAATTGATCGGCATAATATAAAGAAAATTATACAGCTTATATTTTTTTAAGTACTTAAACTTTTCTATTATTGTAGGTATGTAAGGATTTAAGTTGGGTATATGTATATCCTAAAATTCGATTTTTTTATATTATATGATCATTTTATTGATAATGTCCATCTTAAGATTTTATTTGTATATATCCTATACGAAAAAAATTGTTATTATTATATATGTGCACACCCTAAAAAATATTTTTGGATCTGTCACTGAATGTAGACGTCTAACATTTCAACATTATCATTTGAAGTGTTTGATATGTGAGGACCATTAAAAAAAAGTTTGTTATCTGACACGTGATATGTTTATATATTTTAAAAAAATGTATTATATTATTATTTTAAAAAAACTTATTTTTTAATTTCAAAAAGAAAACCCAAATTCTTAAAATTCTTAATCTCTTTACTCCCGTCGTCGATCATTTCCAATCATCTATCCGTCATCGATCGATCCCCATGCATCATCATCCACCCACTAATTTATAATCATCTTTGTCGTCATCTACAACCCATGGATCTTCTAATCAATAATCACCGGTTGCCAACGAACCTTTGGGTGGAAACAATAACCACATTGCCTCCACATTCATTTGAACAGTTGGTGGTGGCCGATCGATACCATTGGTGATGGGCGACGACAATAAGGGATTGAAATTAAGAATTATAAAATATGGGCTGTTTTTGAAATTTTAAAAAGTTAGGGTTGTTTTTAAATTATAATATTTTTAAATTTTTAAAATAAAATTCTCAAAACATATAAACATCACAATGCTAGATAACAACATTTTTTAACGTATGTTATAATTGAGACACTCAGAATGACAACATTCGTAATATTAGACACTTACATTGACTGAAAAAAATTATACACTTAAAAAAGGAAATATATATAGTTTAGATAATTTTTTTATATTAAGCCTAATTGATATAATGTTGACAAAAAAATCCTTTTTTATTAATTTTATATAAATAATTTATTATAAATATTAAAATTAAAACTTTATATTATAGTTTATTTAAAATTTATTTTATTAATTAACTAATTTGAAATTTAGATTCATTTAAACCCAATTTTTTTTTATAAAACATCTATTTATTTTAATCTCATTTTTTTTATAAATTTGAGGCGGTTATAAGGTAAGAATTTTAAATTAGAGATGTGCAAACATTTAAATATATAACCTCTAAAATATTACGGAAACATTAATAAATGTTATGATATTATTGATATCAATCAGGTTAAGATTCAATAGTTAATTTATCTATTTTTATTTAAAAAAATTGTAAAATTTTCTCTTTTTATTTTTATTTTAAATAATTTTTATGAAATTGTTATCATAAAAAGATCATTTTTTAAATTTATTATTGGTAATTTTTTAGATTTTATTTTAGAATTAGTAAAATATATAGGTGGTGGTTAACTTTTAAAAAAAACTTTTGTTTTGATAAAAAAATTATTCAATTTAGCATTAGAGCAATTGTTTGTTTTAATTACTCAAGAGTTAAATCTTTAACGATATTATTAATAAATTATTTAATTGGTCAATCGATTTTTGAGTGTCTTTATTTTAATTACTATTTTTCTAATATTATGATCACCCAATTAGATAGTTTACTGCTAATATTATTAGGAGTTTAACGCTCGGTGATTAATATAAATAATTTTTCTTTATTAAATTGAAAAAAATATCGAAAGAAAAACGCCCTAAATATTAAATGATAGTACGAGTAGTTTATATTTTAAAATATGTAGTTCAATATTGTAAAAGTAGCATAACTTGAGAAATAATAATAAAATCAAACACAATATTGATAATTTTCCCCTCTTCATTATTTTCCCACAGCATTTTATGATCATTTTTGCTTGAAAGCAATGCAGCAGTTCATTGATACATAAGAGGGGGGGGGGGAAGGGAGAGAAAAGTAGTTGACGTTAATTACAATTTCCTTAGGAAAATCTAGCCTCCTTCTTCATCGGTAATGAATTTGCCAGTCCCTGGATTTATAGCAGCAGCAAAGAAAAAGGCAACGTTGAGCAACACAAGGGGTTCAATGTCGCTAATAGGAATCCCTGTCTCAATGTTTAGCTGTGCTAGTGCTCCTTTCCCTGTTATAATCTCTCCTATCAACGAGAAGGCAATTCCCAGCTGAGCCAATCTTCCCACAAACAACTCATTTGCCTTTGTGAATCCGAACAACGGACCTGCTCGACACGAACATGAACGAATTTATATTTGATGCACTTACGGTGTATGTACGATTCGATGTAAAGTTTTGTTGAATTGGTTGTATGATTAATGTTTACCTCCTTCCTTGAGACCCAGGGCACCCCTAATGCCTTTCCCGGGAGGGATTACTGCTCCTTCAATGCCTGTAGAAGGCTCGTCGACGAAGCGGCCTCGGTCGCCCAAAGCTCCGATTGCTCCTAGGAGGGTGAAGAGGATGAAGAAGAGAAGAAGGGGTTCAGCTTCATAAATTGGAATGCCTGTCTCCAGGTTCAACTGTGCTAGAATTCCTTTCCCTGTTATTGCTTCACCTAACAAGGATGCCTGCATGTATAAGTTGTTTATTATAATTTCACACAACATGAACACAGGACAAGCTCACATTTCTAACACCAACCTCAAAAACAATGTATTTGAACAATTAACAAATCAAATCTCTTAAGTCACCGGTTAATCATAGAATGAATTACTGCAGAATTTACTTGACATAAATCGTCACTTTTTTAAAGTATTTTGACTCCTAAAGTTTCATTTTGAGAAAAGGAAACGGTCAGTCAACAAAGGGACAACCCTTCAAAACATAGTCGTTTTTACACTAAAATAAAACGTTGAGATCAAAATGCTTAAAAAAAATATAAACTAAAATGACTATTTAACACAATTTTTGAGAGCGAATTTACTTACAGAAAAGCCGATCATGGCCACACGTCCAACAAAGAGCTCATTCTGCTTGGTGAAACCAATCCCTCCAGAAGTGCCAAATATTCCGTCTTCAAACTTTGGCTTCGGCTTCGGTGCAGCCTTTTTCAAGCACAAAAAATGGTATAATTAAAAAATCAAGTTAATCAAAACACCATTAAAATAGACAAAAAGACATCTAGCAGAAGAAAATTTAAAACAAGTTACCTTCTTGGGAGCAGCTTTGGTCTTTGATTTGAAGATTGCGAAAGTGGTGAAAGATCTTGACGATGAAGCAGCAACAGTGTTGGAGAGTGGATTGAAGAAGAAATGAGACAAGGGTTTAGGCTTTAAGCCTTGTGATTGGGAATGGAGGAGAGGGTGGTCCCTCTTCAAGTTCACTGCAGCATGGCTTGTTGAAGCGCTGGTACTAGACATTACCAGCATGGTTTGAGCCATTGATAGTAAATCTCTGAGATATGTTTGTGATGGAGAAGAAGAGATATTTGTCTTTTGAACCTTAATATCCTTTCGTTTTCTTTTTAATGCTTTTAGATTCCAAATTTGTGCT